GAGCAGGGCGTCCTTCTCTGACTTCAAGAAGCCCTTGAACACTTCCTCTTATAACACCTCTAACTCCTAACCTTTAACACACTTCCTGTGCTCTTCTTCTTCTATCCCTTACAATGATCTTGTATTGATTGCACTTTTTTTGTATTGATTGCACTTTTTTTGTTAACTCTTACTTCCTTCCCTAGGTATCTACTTCATTGCTGTGATATGTACTGTGAGCTCTTACTAGTATTTATTGCTGCTCTTACTAGTATGTATTGCCTTGTAGATCTGTATTTCATGCTCTGTTGATGCTTGTATGTTGTTGCTCAAATTTAAGTCGCTTTGGATAAAAGCATCTGCCAAATGAGTAAATGTAAATGTAAATGCTATATGAATTGTTTTTAAGTGGACACGGACAAGACATATCCTGTTCTGACATGTAGTAATGTGTGGATCGATCCTAAAGTATCGATATTTCTGATACCAACTTGTCCTGCTCTAGGATCGATACTCATATAAAAGGATCGATATCTAACCTCAGTCATTTGGAGTGAGGGTGTGTTTTATTATAGTATATTACTGTCACCAGGATGGTCTAATTATACTCGGTTCATAGGAACTACTTCTCCTTCCACCTGTCAAAGTCATGCTTGTGCTGAAGTGAGTCGCTGCAGCTCCTTACATTTCCCGCGATTGAAAACTGACTCTGGCCGGCTGTAGAAACAGTCACGTCTGGCTGTATTTTAGCTGTGAAGGTAATAATGATGCTCTGTGTAGTGTGTGTGCAAAGAGTGAAATACTTTGGCAACACTGCAAACTTCGCTAAACTTCTGAGATTAAGTCAAAAATAGGATGATGTTATGAAGCGGCAGTTCTGAAGCCTGTCGACAGTAGCAAACATGCACACACATTATTAGTGTTTTTGGTGATGATGTCAGAGAAGAAGGACCACCTTGCATTTCTCAGCTCTAAATTATAAATGCAAGTCTCTCTTTATAGACAGCATAATGAACCTGGAGATTTGTTTTCCGCCACCTCTTTTTGAGTTCTACCCAGCGTGGCATTTCTCCATGGAGATCTTCTCTTACCAGAGACCACCTTCACCTTGGCTGGTGCAATGGCATCAATAACATTTGTAATTTTAGAACTGAAATTATCTACAAGTTCGCTGACTGAGACCCATGAGAGCGGGTGTCGGAGAAAGCCTGAATAATTTTTTCACTAGTGTTTTCAGTGATATGCCGTTTTGTGATCACCTCTGTTTGTACATTTGTGTGCACGCAGATAGCACTCTCAAAGAAAACACAGGAATGATCTGAGAGAGCAACATCAGTCACCACAACCTTGGAAATGTTCAGACCCTTGGAGATGATAACCTTGATGAAGTCCAAAGTGTGCCCCTTATTGTGCGTGGGCCTCGTCACATGTTGGGTCAGTCCATAATTATCAAGAACACAACACAGTTCTTTAGTCCCTCTGTCCTGGGGGTTGTCAACATGGATGTTAAAATCACCAACAATAACCACACAGTCAAAGTCAATACAGATTATAGACAGCAGTTCACCAAAGTCATCAAAAACGTTTGCACAGTATTTAGGGGCCTGTAGATATTTAGAAAAATTGCTTGAGAAGAGGTTCAGCTGAAGAGCCACATATTCAAAAGAAGCTAAATTCCCATAAGACATCTTTTGCATTGGAGGGAGTCATTAAACAAAATGGCAACTCCACCTCCTCTCTTATGCACTCTAGCTTCACTCATGAAACTGAAGCTGGGAGGGGTAGACCGATAAGGACAGCTGCACTGTTATCTTGGTCCAACCAAGTTTCAGTTAAAAACATGAAATTAAGATTGTGAGTTATTATAAAATCATTGATTAAAAATGTTTTTCCTGTCAAAGACCTAACGTTTAACAAAGCTAATTTGTGTGTTAAAAACATTATCTGGCCCACTTTTTTCGTCAGGCTGCGGCTGACGAGGAATTAATACTAAATTTGCAGGATATGTTGAGTGCTTCCTGTTTCTTAACACATTCACCATGCTTTTTCTGTTACCTGTCAAGACAGGGATGGAGAAGACTACCAGCACATTGGGCCCCGGCTTGTCCTGGAAGAGTCATGAGTGCTATTTTCCTTGTAGCATGGACCCAGCACATATCAGACAGAGCTTACTGGGCTTTTTCGCCATTGCAGAGCGGGAAGGTGGGTTGTGCGCTGTATTTTTGACACATGTGTCAAACCTGGAGACTTAGAACCAGTGGCGGAGGTGGATGGTGGGGGTTTAGGGTAGAGAAAATGGGAGTGGAGCAAGGGAAGGTGGGGGGTAAATTTGGTCCCAGCTCCAGGTCTTCCATGTGATCAGTCCAACAGGGGGAGGGGAGAAAGGGTGTCTGGAGATAAGGGTGACCTAGGTGGGGATTGGGGGTAAAGATGGTGACTCCTCACTGTTGGTTTTCAGTGAGGGAGGTGGAGACTCTTCCTCTTGGCTCAGGTGTCTCCCGTGATCAGAGCTGTCTTCCGGCGGGTGAGGTGGCTCTCCTTCAAGGTTTCTGGTGTGTTGTGTTATGTCTTCTTCTTGTTGAGATTCCTCTTGTCTCTTGTCCTTGGCAGAGGGAACAGATGAGTGATGCAGAAAGTAAAACAGGTTGGAGCTGAACAATTTTACTCCTGACTTGTTAAGTCCATCTGCCTTAAAAAGATGTCTGCGGTCCCACAGAAAGTAAAAGTTTTCGATGAAATGCACTGAATGGACAGTACATGCCGTTGAGAGCCACGTGTTCAATGTCATCAGTCTGCTGAATCCCTCAGCTCCTCTTCGGCTTGGCGGTATAGGCCCACTGATAAACCCCTCAGCATTCAGAGAGCTGACTGTGTTCAACAGATTATTATGTCCACTTTCAACACTTCAGACTGTTGCTTCACAACATCATTGGCCCCGATGTGCAGTATGATGTTTTTCACAGTAGGATGTTCAGCCACGATATGCAGGAATCTTTCTGCCAAGTCAGACACCGTATCCTTCGGAAAGCAGAGTATTTTGGTGTCCTTACTGCACATGCTTCTTATATCGTTTACAGCAGAGTCACCCACAATCAGAGTTTGAGGCCCAGTCGTTAGCTTTCCCTGCAGCCTTTTACTTTCTGATTTACTCTCAGTCCTTACCCTTCTGTGTGAGGATGGGATGTTATCAAGGTCATCAGACGGATCCTCTCCCTTTCGCAGCGGTCCGGCTGTGTCCTACCAAGAACAGGGTTTGAAGAGGCCTCTACCCAGGTGATAATGCAGGTCTAGTCGCATCACAAATTTCAGGGCGCTGGGTTCTGCCTGTTACTCGTCCAACCATTTACCAGGGAAATTATTTATTCTTAGGCTTTGCTCCAAGAGCGTTCCAGGGAGGACTACCACTTTCAGATTTATTATCCAGTACACAGGCCTCCTGCTTCTTGGTCTTTTTGGTGCTAATTAGACCTGTGTTAGCATGGTCTTGTCCACTGTTTTGGATCCATGGTAAAGTGGTGTCATTCCCACATATTCCATTCACTTCCACATTCACCTCTAACCTGTGGATCTTGGTTTCCAGCACTGCAACTTTCTGTAGAAGTTTGTGGAAGTCATCCGTGGAGAAGGGGGGCATCTTGTTGCTAATTAGCATTAGCTACAAAGCCAATCACTGCAGTACAGGCTAGTGCTATTGATAGGCTGCACTCGCGTAGCACTGAAATCAAAAGTATTTAAAGTATGGCAATAGCCTACTTTATCTGACAGTCATAGTGATTTAAAAGTATCCAAGAGCCGCTGCTCATAATTTCTAGTAGGAAAAAAAGAGAGTTTCAGCAAAAGTATTAAAGCAGAGGGGAAAGCAAGCAGCAAAGTGTCTCCACTGTAAGAAATCAGGAAGAACTTAGTACTAAACCATGAGCTGACTAGATCCTTACACCTGCAATAGTGTTAGTTAGGTTTGGTTTCTCACCGAGCCAGTACTCTCCAGCAGCGCTACCAAAGCCCAGCTTGTACTGATCCCAGCCCCTGTAGAAGTTCACAGTGCCGTCCATCCTCCTCTGGAACACCTGGGGGGGACGGGATGGAGGAGAACTAGCTAAACACCCAGATACCTGACAGCTCATGTTTCCAGGCAACAAGGTTTGAACTAAGGTAAACCTTCATTCAGGAAGTACATCACATAAACCAGCTGCTGGATTCGTCTATCCGGGTCAGGAACAACAGACACACTGATAATGTCTGGACCTCTGGCACTTTAGAGTCAGAGTGAGACTGAGCAGTCTCTGAGTGTCTTAAACAGCTGGCTTTAGGACAAACCACTTTGTGCATCAAGTCAGTTCTCCTGTCTCGTTCCTGGTCTCAACTGGTTGCTGCTCAAATGTATTCCCCTACATTCCATCAATATCTTTGGTTAACAAGGCGTACCGACTGAAGGAAGTTGTGCACTGATCATTGATTGTGTAACAGCAGAGCTAGCTTGGTAGAGTTCATGGGAGGCCTCTGATCAGTCTGAACAGGTCCTGGATTTGAGAACTGCTGAGCCAGATTTGGTACTTGAGTTAAAATACTCACCGTCCATCGTCCTCCTGGTGAGTCCATATCACAGTACACCTACACACAGACACAAACAGTCATTAGTCAGTTTATCAACCAGGGAATATTAAATATCCATATGTGATACAACCTGTACTACTACTAGTACTACTGCTGCTGCTGCTGGTGTGACTTAATGGAGTTATGTAAACTGAGATTCAGGAACAGGACCACACCTCTCTCACTAATTCATCCACCTGTGCCTCTTTAATACAATCACATGCACTCATGTATATAACGTGTCTAATCCTGTTCTCTCCCGTTTTTCAGTTCTCACATCTGTCCCACCCAAAGTCTGTTCTTCATCTCTTTTTATCAGCAGCACGGTGGCCCAGTGGACACAGCAAGAAGGTTCTAGGTTAGACCTCCCTCAGCCCAGGCTTTCTGTACAGAGTTTGCATGTTCTCCCCTGTTTGCATGGTTTCCCCCGGGTGCTCCGGTTCCTCCCACCATGAAAGACATGCACGCTAAAATCCATAATTCTGACAAGTAATCACTTTGTCTTTTTTTACAACAGGAACCACAGGGGTTCATAAACAAGCCGCTTATCGAGATGAGCCCCCACTGAATCTCGACCCCCTGGGTTCCTAGCTGCTCCGGCCACCAAACCCTAAAGAAGATCCTTCATCCCTCCCCTCTCAACCCTCCTTTTATAACTATTCATTACATAACCACTATAAAATCTAACTTAGCATGTACCTTGTTAGTGAATCCCATTACTGCATGTAACTAACTTCACTGAAAGTCAAACACTTTTATCTCCTAAGTGTCCCTGAGAGGATGAAGTGTACCTGGACAGCAGAGGTGGCTCCGATGGGATAGATGGTGTACACTCCACTGGGTCGGCTGTTGTCATTGTTATAGATGTCACTGCAGTCCAGTGGGAGGACGAGGGGCATGGAGCTGGTCGACAGAGGAGCCGGAGGAGGAAGACGACTGATACCAGCTGGAACAGACAGGTTATTTTTTTTGAACAGAGTTTGGCCTCTGCAGCCAGTCGGTGCTGAAGGTTTTACCTTTCAATGTGAAAAAAAGTTTTTTGTCAGGGAGGAGATAAAATAAACTCACATTTTATTAAGACATACAGTATCTCACAGAAGTGAGTCCGCCCCTCTCATTTCTGTAAATATCTGATTCTATCTTTTCATGTGAAACACACTTTGCTCCAATGTAAAGTAGTGAGTGTACAGCTTGTATAACAGTGTAAATCTGCTGTCCCCTCAAAATAACACATCACACAGCCATTAATGTCTAAACCACTGGCAACAAAAGAGAGGACACCCTAAGTGAAAATGTCCTAATTGGGCCCAATTAGCCATTTTCCCTCCCCGGTGTCATGTGACTCATTAGTGTTACAAGGTCTCAGGTGTGAATGGAGAGCAGGTGTGTTAAATTTGGTGTTGTCGCTCTCACACTCCCTCATACTGGTCACTAGAAGTTCAACATGGCATCTCATGGCAAAGAACTGTCTGAGGATCTGAAACAAAGAATGGTTGCTCTACATAAAGATGGCCCAAGCTAAGAAATTGAGCTGCAGCACGGTGGCCATGACCATACAGCGGTTCACCAGGACAGGTTCCACCCAGAACAGGCAAAACCAAACGGAAGGTGGAAGAGAGCAAGGTCTCTAACATCCACCAGCTCCATGATGTTGTCATGGAGGAGTGGAAGAGACTCCAGTGGCAACCTGTTAAGGCAGCGCTGGAGAATAATGGTGGCCCCACAATATATGACACTTTGGGCCCAATGTGGACATTTTCACTTAGGGGTGTCCTCACTTTTGTTGCCAGCGGTTTAGACATTAACGGCTGTGTGATGTGTTATTTTGAGGTGACAGCAGATTTACACTGTTACACTGCTGTACACTCACTACTTTACACTGTTATACAAGCTGTACGCTCACTACTTACAAGCTGTTTACTCACTACTTTACACTGAAAACAAGCTGTACGCTCACTATTTTACAAGCTGTTTACTCACTACTTTACACTGTTAGACAAGCTGTACACTCACTATTTTACACTGTTATACAAGCTGTATGCTCACTACTTTACACTGTTATACATGCTGTACGCTCACTACTTTACACTGTTATACAAGCTGTACGCTCACTACTTTACACTGTTATACAGGCTGTACGCTCACTACTTCACACTGTTATACAAGCTGTACGCTCACTATTTTACACTATTATACAAGCTGTACGCTCACTACCTTACACTGTTGTACGCTCACTACTTTACACTGTTATACAAACTGTACGCTCACTACTTTACTGTTATACAAGCTGTACGCTCACTACTTTACACTGTTATACAAGCTGTATGCTCACTACTTTACACTGTTATACAAGCTGTACGCTCACTACTTTACACTGTTATAAATGCTGTACGCTCACTACTTTACACTGTTGTACGCTCACTACTTTATACTGTTATACAAGCTGTACGCTCACTAATTTACACTGTTATGCAAGCTGTACGCTCACTACTTTACAAGCTGTACACTCACTACTTTACACTGTTATACAAGCTGTCACTCACTACTTTACACTGTATACAAGCTGTACGCTCACTACTTTACACTGTTATACAGGCTGTACGCTCACTACTTCACACTGTTATAGAAGCTGTACGCTCACTATTTTACACTATTATACAAGCTGTACGCTCACTACCTTACACTGTTGTACGCTCACTACTTTACACTGTTATACAAACTGTACGCTCACTACTTTATACTGTTATCAAGCTGTATGCTCACTACTTTACACTGTTATACAAGCTGTATGCTCACTACTTTACACTGTTATACAAGCTGTACGCTCACTACTTTACACTGTTATACAAGCTGCACGCTCACTATTTTACACTGTTATACAAGCTGTACTCACTACTTTACAAGCTGTTTACTCACTACTTTACACTGTTATACAAGCTGTACGCTCACTACTTTACACTGTTATAAATGCTGTACGCTCACTACTTTACACTGTTGTACGCTCACTACTTTACACTGTTGTACGCTCACTACTTTATACTGTTATACAAGCTGTACGCTCACTACTTTACACTGTTATGCAAGCTGTACGCTCACTACTTTACAAGCTGTACCTCACTACTTTACACTGTTATACAAGCTGTACACTCACTACTTTACACTGTTATACAAGCTGTACGCTCACTACTTTACACTGTTATACAGGCTGTACGCTCACTACTTACACTGTTATACAAGCTGTACGCTCACTATTTTCACTATTATACAAGCTGTACGCTCACTACCTTACACTGTTGTACGCTCACTACTTTACACTGTTATACAAGCTGTACGCTCACTACTTTACACTGTTATACAGGCTGTACGCTCACTACTTCACACTGTTATACAAGCTGTACGCTCACTATTTACACTATTATACAAGCTGCACGCTCACTATTTTACACTGTTATACAAGCTGTACGCTCACTACTTTACAAGCTGTTTACTCACTACTTTACACTGTTATACAAGCTTACACTCACTACTTTACACTGTTATACAAGCTGCACTACTTTACACTGTTATACAAGCTGCACGCTCACTATTTTACACTGCTATACAAGCTGTACGCTCACTACTTTACAAGCTGTTTACTCACTACTTTACACTGTTATACAAGCTGTACACTCACTACTTTACACTGTTATACAAGCTGTACACTCACTACTTTACACTGTTATACAAGCTGTACACTCACTATTTTACAAGCTGTACACTCACTACTTTACACTGTTATACAAGCTGTACACTCACTACTTTACACTGTTATACAAGCTGTACGCTCACTACTTTACACTGTTATACAGCTGTACTCCTACTACTTCACACTGTTATACAAGCTGTACGCTCACTATTTACACATTATACAAGCTGTACGCTCACTACCTTACACTGTTGTACGCTCACTACTTTACACTGTTACAAACTGTACGCTCACTACTTTACTGTTATACAAGCTGTACGCTCACTACTTTACACTGTTATACAAGCTGTATGCTCACTACTTTACACTGTTATACAAGCTGTACGCTCACTACTTTACACTGTTATACAAGCTGCACGCTCACTATTTACACTGTTATACAAGCTGTACGCTCACTACTTTACAAGCTGTTTACTCACTACTTTACACTGTTATACAAGCTTTACACTCACTACTTTACACTGTTATACAAGCTGCACTACTTTACACTGTTATACAAGCTGCACGCTCACTATTTTACACTGTTTACAAGCTGTACGCTCACTACTTTACAAGCTGTTTACTCACTACTTTACACTGTTATACAAGCTGTACACTCACTACTTTACACTGTTATACAAGCTGTACACTCACTATTTTACACAGTTATACAAGCTGTACGCTCACTACTTTACACTGTTATACAAGCTGTACGCTCACTATTTACAAGCTGTTTACTCACTATTTTACACTGTTATACAAGCTGTACGCTCACTACTTTACAAGCTGTTTACTCACTACTTTACACTGTTATACAAGCTGTACACTCACTACTTTACAAGCTGTACACTCACTATTTACAATGTTGTACAAGCTGTACACTCACTACTTTACAAGCTGTTTACTCACTACTTTACACTGTTATACAAGCTGTTTACTCACTACTTTACACTGTTATACAAGCTGTACGCTCACTACTTTACACTGTTATACAAGCTGTACACTCACTATTTTACACAGTTATACAAGCTGTACGCTCACTACTTTACACTGTTATACAGGCTGTACGCTCACTACTTTACACTGTTATACAAGCTGTACGCTCACTACTTTACACTGTTATACAAGCTGCACGCTCACTACTTTACACTGTTATACAAGCTGTACGCTCACTATTTACACTGTTAAACAAGCTGTACGCTCACTACTTTACAAGCTGTTTACTCACTACTTTACACTGTTATACAAGCTGTACGCTCACTATTTTACACTGTTATACAAGCTGTACGCTCACTATTTTACACTGTTATACAAGCTGTACGCTCACTACTTTACAAGCTGTTTACTCACTACTTTACACTGTTATACAAGCGGTACGCTCACTATTTTACACTGTTATACAAGCTGTACGCTCACTACTTTACAAGCTGTTTACTCACTACTTTACACTGTTATGCAAGCTGTACACTCACTACTTTACACTGTTATACAAGCTGTACACTCACTACTTTACAAGCTGTTTACTCAGTACTTTACACTGTTATACAAGCTGTACGCTCACTATTTACAATGTTGTACAAGCTGTACACTCACTACTTTACAAGCTGTTTACTCACTACTTTACACTGTTATACAAGCTGTACGCTCACTACTTTACACTGTTATACAAGCTGTTTACTCACTACTTTACACTGTTATACAAGCTGTACGCTCACTACTTTACACTGATACATGCTGTACGCTCACTACTTTACACTGTTGTACACTCACTACTTTACACTGTTATACAAGCTGTTTACTCACTACTTTACACTGTTATACAAGCTGTACGCTTACTACTTTACACTGTTATACATGCTGTACGCTCACTACTTTACACTGTTATACATGCTGTACGCTCACTACTTTACACTGTTATACAAGCTGTACGCTCACTACTTTACACTGTTATACAAGCTGTACGCTCACTACTTTACACTGTTATACAAGCTGTACTCTCACTACTTTACATTGGAGCAAAGTGTCATTTCTTCAGTGTTGAAACATGAAAAGATAGAATCAGATATTTACAGAAACGTGAGGGGTGGACTCACTTTGTGAGATATTGTACGCAGGTAGCCAGAGAGGCTGAATCAGCCTAGTGAAGCTCTAAATAGTGTTAAGCTTTAATAGGAA